TCAGAGTCCTTCAAATGCTTTGCTTCAATGAAGCAGAGCTTCCTTCATTGTTCCCTTTCTTTCCCTAAGTTATTGCCAGGCTTTGAGATATAAGTCAATAGTAGTGTAGTCATTAAATTTCAGTTATAATCTACCTTTTTAAGCTGATTCTAAGGAAGAATTTTTTGCAGATTCCAAATGGGATAGAGTTGGATTTAACAGACATTTATTTATTTTTAAGTTAGATTTTTAAAAAATCACTATTTGACCCTACTTCCAATGCAAATTTTGGAATATAGAACCAAAATAAAATTCATTTAGTTAGAAACATTGTTGAGCTTAAATGTCATGAAATGAAAGTCACTCAGTCGTGTCCAACTCTTTGCAATCCCAAGGACTATGCAGTCCTTGGAATTCTTCAGGCCAGAATACTGGAGTGGGTGGCCGTTCCCTTCTCCAGGAGATCTTCCCATCCTAGGAATTGAACTGGGGTCTCCCGCATTGCAGGTGGATTCTTTACCAACTGAGCCACCAGGGAAGCCCTAAATGTTATGAGTGTTTGCTTTATTTCAATGGGATGGAAATTTTCTCTTCTTTTAATAATGTAACATTTTACACATACAAAAAGATATTGGAGCAGATATCTGACTTATAAAGCATAATGATGAAATGAACACCCATGAGTCCACTTAGACTTCACTGTTTGACTTAAGTAGAAAATATTGCTATTAAGTCTTCCTATGTGTTTTCCTCCCACTCCATTATATTCTCCACCCTCCTTTTCAGAATTAAGTGCTCTCCAGAATTTTGTTTGTTCTTTGGTAACTTTTACTAGCCGTATCTTTTTGCCTATGGCGAAAAGGTTGTTTTGTTTCTTTGTTTGTCACCATTTCACTTTAATCTCAAGGAAGTGACATCCTCAGGCTAATATTTAGCATATTAAATCGCAAGTTCTCGTATGTAAGTTTCTAAGTACAGTCTGAACATAGTTGACTTCAATGCATATGTTATCAAAGTCTGTCATCAGAACTTGATTTTATAAAATATTACAAAATCAGCTCCTTCATTTTACTGAACATGTAGAATACATATGGTAGATACTTTCTCCATGCTGCTTAGCCTTTTCCAGCATTACTATTGTGTTTTAGTCCCCATACATTGATCAAATGGAAGGAGGGAGGAAAAAATCACTTGTGAATATAGCAATTGTGTATTCTCAAACTTTGCTAGTTATATTTAATCACATGCTTATAAAATCCAAATTAGTTTTCAAATACTATATATTTTAAATCAAATTGACTTTGTGGTTTTATGTTTATATTTCAGAATGGTCATAGGGTCATTATTCATTTAGATTATCTTATCTTTTATTACACAATATTAGAAATAACATGTTTATATTTATTTGCCTTCCTGTATACTCAGTGTTCAGTGTAAGAGATAATAAAAAATACATTTTTTTTAAAAAAAACATTGTTACTCAACAGTAAAATAACCATAAATCACCATTGTTATATATAATGCAGTTCAAATCAAAGATTAGTTATCCAAGGATATAGCTTAGACGATAAGGCTTTTTAAAAGCTATTTCCTTGAATTTGTGGAATTAAATACCCTCAAGGGTAAAAATGCTTTTTAACTTTATAAACTTTTCCCTGGTTGTAGAAATAATGCTTTCTGTATTTGTACTAATGATTGAGAAGCATCTTAGGAACTGAAAATGAAGAGAGTTCATTTTTCATTTTCCAGTTTGAATTAAAAGACGAATGAAAACCAAGAAAACTTACCTAATGTATACATTAAATCTTGTAACATTTATGCTTTATCTTATACAGTTAGGCTAGTTTTAGGCAAGGGGACCTCCCAGGTAGCTTAGTGGTAAAGAAACTACCTGTCAAAGCAGGAGATGCAGGAGACGCAGGTTCAGTCCCTGGTTCAGGAAGATCCTCTGGAGGAGGAAATGGCAACCCAATCCAGTATTCTTGAACAGAGGAGCCTGGTGGGCTATAGTCAATGGGGTTGCAGGAGTCGGACACGACTGAGCACACGTGCGTATAGTCATTGGCAGAGATAGGTCCTGGAAAAGACAATGTCAGGCAGCCAGTTAGGATTGGTTGTTATTAGGAGGATGTCAGTAGAACTCCTTGTATAACCAGCTGGTTCTTTGTCAGTCACAGGAAGGACAGCAGATCCAAAAAAGATGATGTTTGACCATGAACAGAAATGTGGGTAGAATCAATTTAGTTAAGATCATTGGCAGAATTTTGAAAAATTCTAACTGTGAAAATAACTCTTAATGTGTGATGGGTTGAAAGATAGAGGAATGCTTAGAAACTAAACTGAATGAGTCTTATATTCTGAAATATCCTAGAATTATTTGGCCTACTTTATCACAGACAGACCTGTTTTTGTCTCAAACAACTGACCTTTTAAAACAGGCTTCTTTTCCTAGTATACCAGGCTGTGTCTTCATATCTTCAGGATACCTTAACATGAAAGTTTATTCTAGGAATACATGAACATTTCCATTTCATTCATGTATATTAGCAAAGTGAAAGTCACTCAGTTGTGTCTGAATCTTTGTGACCCCATGGAATACACAGTCCGTGGAATTCTCCAGGCCCTACTACTGGAGTGGGTAGACTTTCCCTTCTCCAGAGAATCTTCCCAACCCAGGAATCAAACCCAGGTCTCCCGCATTGCAGGAAGATTCTTTACCAGCTGAGCCACAAGGGAAGCCCAAGATTACTGGAATGGGTAGCCTTTCCCTTCTCCAGGGGATCTTCCTGACGCAGGAATCGAACTGGGGTCTCCCAGATTACAGGCGGATTCTTTACAAACTGAGCTATCAGGAAAACTTGTATATTACCAAGCCAGACTTTAATAAAAACTTTTTACTGTTGGAATTCTTTGTCAAAAATTTTCTTTTTACTCTTTTCTTTAAGTCATTCTTTACTAATACTGTGCTTTGCTTTAATTGTATCAAATTAATACACAGAAATCCCTTGCATTCCTGCGCACTAACAATGAGAAAACAGAAAGAGAAATTAAGGAAACAATCCCACTCACCATTAAGACGAAAAGAATAAAATACTTAGGAATGAATTTACCTAAAGAAACAAAAGACCTGTGTATAGAAAACTATAAAACACTGATGAAAGAAATCAAAGATGACACAAATAGATGGAGAAATATACCATGTTCATGGATTGGAAGAATCAATGTAGTGAAAATGAGTATACTTCCCAAAGCAATCTGCAGATTCAGTGCAATTTCCCATCAAGCTACCAATGGTACTTTTCACAGAACTAGAACAAATAATTTCACAATTGGTATGGAAACACATAAAACCTCAAATAGCCAAAGCAATCTTGAGAAAGAAGAATGGAACTGGAGGAATCAACCTGCCAGACTTCAGACTATACTACAAAGTTACAGTCATCAAGACAGTATGGTACTGGCACAAAGAAGTACAGATCAATGGAACAAAATAGAAAGCCCAGAGATAAATCCACACACCTATGGACACCTTATCTTCTACAAAGGAGGCAAAAATATACAATGGAGAAAAGACAATCTCTTTAGCAAGTGGTGCTGGGAAAACTGACCAACCACTTGTAAAAGAATGAAACTAGAACACTTTCTAACACCATACACAAAAATAAACTCAAAATGGATTAAAGATCTAAATGTAACACCAGAAACTATAAAACTCCTAGAAGAAAACATAGGCAGAGCACTCTCTGACATAAATCACAGGGAGATCCTTTATGACCCATCTCCCAGAGTAATGGAAATAAAAGCAAAAATAAACAAATGGGACCTAATTAAACTTAAAAGCTTTTGCACAATGAAGGAAACTATAAGCAAGGTGTAAAGACAGCCTTCAGAATGGGAGAAAATAATAGCAAATGAAGCAACTGACAATTAATCTCAAAAACATACAAGCAACTCAATACCAGAAAAATAAATGACCCAGTCAAAAAATGGGCCAAAGAACTAAATAGACATTTCTCCAAAGAAGGCATACAGGTGGCTAACAAACACATGAAAAGATGCTCAACATCACTCATTATCAGAGAAATGTAAATCAAATCCACAGTGAGGTACCATCTCACACCCATCAGAATGGCTGCCATCAAAAAGTCTACAAACAATAAATGCTGGAGAGGGTGTGGAGAAAAGGGAACCCTCTTATACTGTTGGTGGGAATGCAAACTAGTACAGCCACTATGGAGAACAGTGTGGAGATTCCTGAAAAAGCTGAAAATAGAACTGCCATATGACCCAGCAATCCCATTGCTGGGCATACACACCAAGGAAACCAGAATTGAAAGAGACACGTGTACCCCAGTGTTCATTGCAGCACTGTTTACGATAGCTAGGACATGGAAGCAACCTAGATGCCCATCAGCAGACGAATGGATAAGAAAGCTGTGGTACATATACACCATGGAATATTACTCAGCTATTAAAAAGAACACATTTGACTCAGTTCTAATGAGGTGGATGAAACTGGAGTCTATTATACAGAGCGATGTGAGTCAGAAAGAAAAACACCAATACAATATATTAATGCATATATATGGAATTTAGAAAGATGGTAGTGACAACCCTATATGTGAGACAGCAAAGACCACAGGTGTAAAGAACAGACTTTTTACTCTGTGGGAGAAGGCAAGGGTGGGATGATTTGAGAGAATAGCATTGAAACATGTATATTACTGTGTGTGAAATAGATGACCAGTGCAAGCTTGATGCATGAAGCAGGGAACTCAAAGCTGGTGCACTGGGCCAACCCAGAAGGATGGGATGGGGAGGGAGGTGGGAAGAGGGTTCAGGGCTGGGGGGCACATGTACACCCATGGCTGATCATGTCAATGTATGGCAAAAACACCAGAATATCATAAAGTAGTTAGCCTCTGATTAAGTAAATTAATTAAAATTTTAAAAATTGTGTCAATGATATTTTTAAGAAACACCTTAATCAGTTTCTTTACAGATATTACTATTTTTGTTAGGATGGACGTTTGAAACCAGGAGATCAACTTGTCTCAATAAACAAGGAGTCTATGATTGGTGTATCATTTGAAGAAGCAAAAAGCATAATTACCAGAGCCAAGTTGAGGTAACTATTCTAGCCATAAGATAGAATGAATCATTTAGCATGTCTCCGTAAAAATAGAAATTTAAGTTGTCCTAGTACTTACTTTAGACGCAAAACAAGTCTTTTCTGCTAATATTTGAAATGTCATCTTAGAATTCAATTGTACTGTATCCATAAAGTGATTTCTTTTTAATGCTAGGTCAGAATCTGCTTGGGAGATAGCATTCATAAGACAGAAATCTGACAGCAGCCATTTAGAAAATCCATCTTGTTCATCCCATTTACAAGCTACAGGAGAATACAGACCTCAAGCCTCAAAATTTAGCCTTATTTCTTCTCCTCCTGAAATACTAATTCCAAAGACCTCATCCACTCCCAAATCTACAGATGCCATTTTACCTTCTTTTAGGAGGAATCAGGTAATCTTGTATTTCTCTGTTTGTTTCTCTGTTTGTACATAAACCTCTGTGTGTCATTATGTTTGTTGTACACATAATAGAACTATAATTTTGGTAATATAGTTTGTTAACCAATTGGTATTTCCTTGAAAGATCTTTTTTGTTTAAGATTTTTATGCTGTGCTATTAATAATTTTTCAGGTCAATGTATTCTATGTCAGAAAATCATAATCAGGAATGTCATCATGAAGATATGCTTAGATATACTCAAAACTGTGATATGAAATGTTATATTTATATTCAGATAGTCTCTCATATTATTCCATTCATTATTTTTTTTCTGTTTTCTGCTTGACTGAAGGCAAGCAATCTTCCTTTTTGTTCCTCAGCTCTTTTCTACACAGTGTAGGCGGATATTGTTCCCTCACATGCATATGCTGGAATATAATTCAGCTTTGTTGTTGTTCAGTTGCTGTCATCTCTGACTCTTTGCGACCCCATGGACTGCAGGATATCAGGCTTCCCTGTCCTTCACTGTCTCCTGGAGTTTGCTCAAACTCATGTCCATTGAGTTGGCAATGCCATCCATCCATCTCATCCTCTGTCACCCACTTCTCCTCTTGCCTTCAATCTTTCCCAGAATCAGGGTCTTTAACAATGAATCACACAAAAGGGGGCGTTTCTACATGGAAATCAATATAATTACAGTCATCCTTTGATATCTGTAGATATCCAGGACAACCTCCTCCCAGAGCCCCCACAGCAGATACCCTAATCCAAGGATGCTAAAGTTTCTTGTATACAATGGTGTTGTATTTGCATATAATCTATGCAGAGCCTCCCCTTATATTTTATATCATCTCTAGATTACACTTAATAGCTAATACAGTATAAATGCTATGTAAATAGTTGCTGGTGCTGCAAATTCAAGTTTTGCTCTTTGGAACTTTCTGGAATTTTTAAAAATAGTTTCAATTTGCTGTTGATTGAATATGCAGATACAAAGGGATGACTGTAATTACTAATCACTACAGTGCAGTTAATAATGAATTATAGAATAGAGCATATAAAATAAACTTGAAACTCAAGTAGGCTTTTAGTCAGGGGGATAAAATTCATCATAGATACCTTCAGTTTTGGGTCCATGCTAATCAGATATAGAATTTAAGATTTTCTCTTAGCCCTTATACTTTTTCATTTGGGGTTATACCTTTTCAGAGACATGGTACATAGCCTTATATTTTGTTATCCTTGGTTATGGTAGAGCTTTATTTTTTTTTTTTTTTTAGTTTTCTGAATGTTGAGCTTTGTTTTTTTTTTTTTTTTGTATTTTAGGCTACAGTTTTTTTTTATTTTTTTTTTATCACAACCATAGTGTATCTTTTTCTTTTTTTTTTTTTTTTCCATGTATTCCCCATCCCGGTCCCCCCTCCCACCTCCCTCTCCACCCAATCCCTCTGGGTCTTCCCAGTGCACCAGGCCCGAGCACTTGTCTCATGCACCCAACCTGGGCTGGTGAACTGTTTCACCCTAGATAATATACGTGTTTCAATGCTGTTCTCTTGAAACATCCCACCCTCGCCTTCTCCCAGAGTCCACAAGTCTGTTCTATACATAGGAGATGGTAGAGCTTTAAAAGCAGCTATTACTTTAATTCTAAATTGCTTTGTTTGAAGGTGAATATACCAAAATTTTAAAGGTTTCATATTTTCAGGACTGTTGCTTTAATCTCATTAATCATTCTTTTTATGTTAACATGAATACCTAGTCTGGTCTTTGACCTCCTTTAGAAAATGACATTTCATATTCCTCATTTTCTTTCTTAGATAAAAACTGGATACAAGAAAACAGAAGAGATTCCATTTAGTTCTTCAGACAACAGCCCTACAGATATGTCTAATACAGGTAAATGCACATTTAATTCCTTTTTCCTGTTATTTTTTTCAATTACTCTCTCAAGGAGGAGTGCATAAGATGACAATAGACTTTAGAGAAGAGTGCATTATTTCTTTTTTCTTCATTGAATAAAAGAGAAAAATTAATCTATCATGCAGTGGTCTCTGTTAGATTATGACTTTTATTGAAAATTTTCCTGAACAAGGGGTTGAAATTTTAATAGATACATTATCATAATAGTGTTTATGAAGCTGTAATAATCAATGGACTGTTGAAACCACATAATGAAAAGTCTTCTTTAAATCAAGATTAGGTTTCCTTGTCCTTTTAGTGAAATCCTGGTGAGGTATATTAAATACACCTTTCAGAGAAATTATAGAAGGGAGCATGGCTTAAGAAAAGAAATACGTTTTATTTTCCTTGGAAGAGATTATATAGATATAAATTGGAAAACACTTGAGTATTATGAATTCAGATTGTTGGTTCTTAATTTTCATGAAATGATTTTTTGATGTTTTTAAACAATAAAGCATTAATTGTGTAAGTTACCCATAAAAAAAGGATTTTTATCAGTCAATAAAGTGTTTCCAGGCTCAAATATCAAGAACACAATCTTCCCCTTAAATTTTCTCCAAAAGTTAAATGAGAAAACAAATTAAAGAAGAAAAACTATCCTTATAGAAAATTGTGTAGAAAAGAAGAGTTAATTATGTGTCTAAATTATTAAGAAAATTGTTACTTATATATTTTAATCTTTAGTAGCGTTGTGTAGATTAAAACCACAAAATAAGAGTTAGTAAAAATTTTATAGTGTCATAGTCTGGGTTCAGTTCAGTTCAGTTCAGTCACTCAGTCATGTCCGACTCTTTCCAACCCCATGAACCTCAGCAAGCCAGGCCTCCCTGTCCATCACCAACTCCCGGAGTCCACCCAAACCCATGTCCATCAAGTCGGTGATGCCATCTACACATCTTATCCTCTGTCGTCCCCTTCTCCTCCTGCCCCCAATGCCTCCCAGCATCAGGGTCTTTTCAAATGAGTCAGTTCTTCGCATCAAGTGGCCAAAGGATTGGAGTTTCAGCTTCAGCATCAATCCTTCCAGTGAACACCCAGGACTAATCTCCTTTAGGGTGGACTGGTTGAATCTCCTTGCAGTCCAAGGGACTCTCAAGAGTCTTCTCCAACACCACAGTTCAAAAGCATCAATTCTTCGGCACTCAGCTTTCTTTATAGTCCAACTCTCACATCCATACATGACCACTGGAAAAACCATAGCCTTGACTAGATGGACCTTTGTTGGCAAAGTAATATCTCTGCTTTTTAATATGCTATCTAGGTTGGTCATAACTTTCCTTCCAAGGAGTAAGCGTCTTTTAATTTCATGGCTGCAATCACCATCTGCAGTGATTTTGGAGCCCAGAAAAATAAAGTCAGCCACTGTTTTCACTGTTTTCCCATCTATTTCCCATGAAGTGATGGGACTGGATGCCATGATCTTAGTTTTCTGAATGTTGAGCTTTAAGCCAACTTTTTCACTCTCCTCTTTTACTTTCATCAAGAGACTCTTTAGTTCTTCTTCACTTTCTGCCATATGGTGGTGTCATCTGAGTATCTGAGGTTATTGATATTTCTCCCGTCAATCTTGATTTCAGCTTGTGCTTCCTCCAGCCCAGCGTTTCTCATGATGTACTCTGCATATAAGTTAAATAAGCAGGGTGACAATATACAGCCTTGATGTACTCCTTTTCCTATTTGGAATCAGTCTGTTATTCCATGTCCAGTTCTAACTGTTGCTTCCTGACCTGCATACAGGTTTCTCAAGAGGCAGGTCAGGTGGTCTGGTATTCCCATCTCTTTCAGAATTTTCCACAATTTATTGTGATCCACACAGTCAAAGGCTTTGGTATAGTCAATAAAGCCATAGTCTGGGTTATTTTCGCAAAATACCACAGATTGGGTATCTTAGAAACAACAGACATTTATTTCTCACAGTTGTGGAGGTTAGAAGTCCAGGGTCATGGTGCCAGCATGATCTGAGAGAAAGCCTTCTTGTGGTTGCTATTCTCATTGTGTCCTTACATGGTAGAAAAGTCTAGGGGGCAGTGTGGGTTCTCTTTTATAAGAACAGTAATTCCATTCATGAGGGCTCCACCTTCATGGTGTAAGCACCTCCCAATGGCCCCAGTTTCTAATACCATGATTTTGGGGGTTAGGATTTTAGCATAGAAATTTTGGGAGGACACAACATTTAGACTATAGCACGTAGCTCCTATACTTAACAGGAATTTATAGTGGATTCCATAGTGGTTTCCCTGACTTGGAGCAGTATTTACCAGTGGGTTAGGAGCAATCTTTAGCCATCAATTGTATGCCTTTTTACTTAATGGGATTTGTTGGCCTTTCGAAACTTATTTAGTATTATTTCCTTTACATAATTAATTTCCTTTCTCTTGGTATATTGTTTTTATTTTAAATTGGGAACACATGTGAGAAAAAGAAGATAGATGAAAGAAGCAAACAGTGGTGCAGTGGCATTTATGCAACTTGTTTTTAATTTTGAAAACAATTGAACTACTTAATGTGTCTTTTAGCCATTTATTTATTCAGTAAATGTTTACTGAGTATGTCATGTACTATCATGGTTCAGTAAGAATTGTAAAGGAATTAGAATATTTCTCATGAGATACTTAATAGTATATTGTCAAATAAAATATGAGGTTAAAAACCTTCATTATTCAGATTGGAAAGCATTATATATGTGTATGTTTATTTATGTATATGTGGGATTATTTTATTGGATAAGTACTTGACTATGTGCCATGTTCTGTGTTGACTAGAGCAGGAGGTGAGTAGTTTTGGGACTTTAAGATGTATACTGTCAGACTTCTCTTGTGCTCCAGTGGTTCACCTACCAATGCAGGAGACACAGGTTCAGTCCCGGTCTGGGAAGATTCACATGCCACAGGGCAACTCAGCCTGTGTACCACAGGTAGTGAGTCCACAATCCAGAGCCCACGAGCCACAGTTAGTGAGCCCACACTCCATGACTGCTGGAGCCCATGTGCCCTCGAGCTTGTGCTCTGCAACACGAGAAGCCACACAGTGAGAAAGAAGCCTGTGCACCACAACCAGAGAGCAGACCCTGCTCGCCACAACTGCAGAAAGCCTGTGTGCAGCAGGGAAGACCCAGAAATCAATCAATAAATAAGAGAAATATACTGTGTTGCCTGAAGAATCCCATGGATGGGGAGCCTGGCTGGCTACAGTCCATAGTGTACACAAGAGTCGGACACAACTGAAGCGACCTAGCACACATGGCGCACACACACACACTGTCTTATTGATGAATAACATACTTGCACAAGACATGTGAAGACATGAACTAAGTGGATTAAGAAAAGAAGTTGTAAGTGACTTGAGTGTGATACAGGGAAAATACAATGGTTAATTACCCGGCCCTGAATGCAAACTTAGAGATTCAGATCTCTGTTCCCAACTTATTAGCTGAATTAGCTTATATTGAAATAGTTTCCTCACGGGGTTCTTATGAGTATTAAACAAGATTGCGTATATTAAGCAATTTGTAGTTAGTACAGAGAATATGCTTAGTACATTTTGCTATTATTAATTTTACAGAAACTGAAGTTTAGAATATAGCTCAGATAATTTTCGAGCAGAAGTGAAAGCTTCTGTCTTTCAATTCAATTTTACATCCTCCTTCTCTACCCCTGAAGCTAGTACATAGTTACTGATTTGTCACAAAATACCCAGGTGGTGTTCACGGTAAAGAATCCACCTGCCAATGCAGGAGACACGAGATGAGGGTTTGATCCTCGATCGAGAAGATCCCCTGAACTAGAAAATGGCAACCTGCTCAAGTATTTTTGTCTGGAAAATTCCATGGACAGAGGAGCCAGGTGGGCCACAAAGAGTCAGACGTGACTGAGTGACTGAACAAGATAAAGAAATCAATAGAGAAAAATTTCTTGGCAAAAGTCAGACATCATGTATATCTTGAAAGAAGTGATAAATGTCAGTGGATGCAAGAAGATAAGAGATCATCCTAAGTGAATGAGGCACCATCATCAAAAGCAAAAAAGTGAGGAAGAGCTACATGTCAAGTGCTCCTAGGAGGCAAATCCAATTAGAGCAAGGAGATCCTACAGTAATGAATAAACTGAGGTAAATTTGCACCAGTGAATATAAGAAATGATGCTTGATTTTGTTGTAGAAAAATAAGCTACTGAAAAATTTATTTGAGTGAGTAAGCTCTATGTAAATATTAAAATGCAATTAGAATGGGAAATTTTTCTAGAGTTGAAATGAAATTGACTTTAGGACCAACCATTTTCTTCCACAAGAATATAGTAGACAAGATATTTCTGAGGGGAAAAAGACAAAGTCAACTCTAAATTCTGTAGGTAACTCACATACATTGTGACTTGTTCTAAGTAGTTATTTATAAATTGTTCCCAAATTAGATCCTTAATTGTCACATCTAAACTCCATCAGCCAGCTGGTATTTATTAATCTTTAAAATATATGAGTATTAATATAATCTCAACAAAAATAAACTTAATGAGGCAAATCTACCCCTGTTCCCATCTCAAAAACATTCTAAACTGTAAAACTGGTTGTGGTTAGTCGCTCAGTCATGTCTGAGTCTTTGCGACCCCATGGGCTTTAGCCCGCCAGGCCCCTCTGTCCATGGGGTTCTCCAGTCGAGAATACTGGAGTGGGTTGCCATGCCCTCCTCCAGGGGATCTTCCCAACCTAGGGGATCGAACCCAGGTCTCCCATATTGCAGGCAGGTTCTTTACTGTCTCAGCCACCAAGGAAGCTCAAGAATACTGGAATGGATAACCTATCCCTTCTCCAAGGGATCTTCCCAACCTCGAAATTGAATCAGGGTCTCCTGCATTACAGGTAGATTCTTTACCAGCTGAGCTACCAGGGAAGCCAGTAAAACTGGTGAGAAGTTTTTTAATCCACTTTATACTTGAGTATGCTTTTAGAAACTATTCTGTTATATAAATTTCACATTTCAGAATCCAGCTGTTTACTACTGCCATAAGCTGAATGGAGAGTTTGTGAGGAAGCTAAAACCACACTAAAGACATTCCTGAGGAAGTCAGTAAAGAATTATTGTGTGAAGAAAGACAACCATTACTTTAACTTTACCACAGCAGAAGCCTTTATTCTCCTACAGTAAGGCTTTTATAACTGAAAACAAGCTAGTGATGAGAAAAACATCCATGGGTAAGGTTCATAGTATTAACCAAATGGCATTGATTTTGCACTCATAAAACATTTCCTTTCTTCTAAAAAGAAGAAAAGGAAGAGAAGATCCAAGAGAAATAAGCCATACTTTGAAAATTCTCAATCCCCCACCACATGAGTAAGTAAATAAGGCGCTCAAGGCTGAAACTGAGAGGGACACTGGAAGTTGAGGAAAACTGTCTGTGGTGGGTGCTTTCCAGATCAAGCTACCATGAATTACAGCATGCACAAACGCATGCTGGATTTATGCCTAGATCTTCCTAAAGTTTTGGCTCAAGGTAAAGATTTAGGGGATGCTTGGCTAGAAGAGAGATTTTGTTGAGCCATTGAGGGGTTAGTATAATTTTACATTAGTCTCCTGTTTAATCTTTGTATGTATGTATATCCCATAGACAGAGGAGCCTGGTATGCTGCAGTCCATGGTGTCGCAAAGAGTCGGACACAACTGAGCGACTTTGCTTCGCTAATGCCGTCATTACTATTAACAGTACTTTATTGTTTACATGGGCTTCCCAGGTGGCACTAGTGGTAAAGAACCCACCTGCAAATGCAGATAGACTAAGGGACATGGATTTGATTTCTGGGTTGGGAAGATTCCCCTGGAGGAGGGCACGGCAACCCACTCCAGTATTCTTGCTTGGAAAATCCCCATGGACAGAGGAGCCTGGTGGGTAACAGTCTGACAAAGAGTCAGACACGACTGAAGTGACTTAACGCACACATACACATAGTTTTCATAGTAGTTTTCTAGGGTTTTTAATTTTACCATTACAGTTCCTGTAAAGTGATCTGTTTTATTCCTCCTGCTTTATGGATGAAAAGACTGATTATGAAAGATATTGACACATTTAAACAATTGGCTTAAGGAGTCATAAGAGATTAGAATCCTACATGGTTGTCTACTTGCCATATATTGTGCCAGTTTCTTTACCTTTTGGGGTCTTGGTGTCATCATCTTTAATTGGAAATAATAATACCTGTGTCACTGTGGTTATTGTTGATTAATGCATTTATGCACATAAAGTACTTAGTGTGCTGTTGCTGTTGCTGCTAAGTCACTTCAATCGTGTCCGACTCTGTGCGACCCCATAGGTGGCAGTCCACCAGGCTCCCCCGTCCCTGGGATTCTCCAGGCAAGAACACTGGAGTGGGTTGCCATTGCCTTTTCCAATGCATGAAAGTGGAAAGTGAAAGTGAAGCCGCTCAGTTGTGTCCGACTCTTAGTCACCCCATGGACTGCAGCCCACCAGGCTCCTTGGTCCATGGGATTTTCCAGGCAAGAGTCCTGGAGTGGGGTTCCATTGCCTTCTCCAAAGTACTTAGTGTACTGCCTGGCTAAAAGTAAGCATGGTGGTTGAGTTGCTAAGTCTTGTCCAACTCTTGTGCTAATCTTCTCTTATATCCACTGTTGCACATAGTGAGTGTTTATGCCTGGATGTAGGAAAACATAAGTAAAAACACATTCCTTGGTATGTGTCCCTGTCCTGCCCTCTCTTGTCTCCTCTGCATCCCTTCCACGCACACTTGAATTGAGTAATTCACACTCACGGTTAGTCTTGATCTGAGTTCATGATTAAGTTAGCTTGGGTCCACCTTGTGTTAGTGTGCATTAATGGTAGGTCAGGAACCAGGCTAAAAAGTCATTGTCAAGACTCACATGTCCACACCCTAAAAATGAAAAATAATGTTTGACTTATCTCCTACTTGGGTTTCCATACCACTTTACTCCATGCTGACCTCTTATGCTACACTTCAAGTTTGGCAAAAAATTTCTCTTAAGAGGAAAAATAATGTATTCATAATTTATTTTTAGCCCTTGGCTAACAATTAGGTATCACAGTAAAAAGGCATCTTTGTTGCCTTTGTCAAATTTGTAAAAATTCTATTATACTAAAATCAGTCTTTCTCAACCTTTGAATTCCATTTAAAGTTAAAAGTCAGTAACCGTTTTTTTTTTTTTTTTATGATCTTGACACCTATAAGTTATATTCAAGATTTTACATAGAATGTTAAGGAAGTGTTAAAGGTTTAGAGGAAGACTATTTATTTTCATATGCACTTCTTATGTTCTTAGGAAAGAGAATGCAAATCATTTTGTACTCAGAGACAGATGCTCTGAGAAATAAAAAAAAAAATTAAAACACTGCATAAAAATGTGACATTTTAAAAAGTTTTTTCTCTTCCTCTTGTTTCTATGTAGAACTAGTAAAATACCATTTAAAAGTGTATTTAGAATGGTGACAATTTAGATACAAAGATTGACATGAATTGCAGAAATCTGAGAAAATTTGGCATATTAAGGCAAATAATTTTTCAAATTCTAGTCCCTTGGGACACCTGGTTTTTACTCATAAATCAAGGATAGAGCTCATCTAAATAGTCAGGGTATACTGAGAAGGCGTTAGAGAGTGGGTAAGAGGTGTATGACACTCAACTCTTGAGAATCATTTATGCTCCTCAAAATATAACCCTTCTGTAAAATAAGAAATAAGATTTTCAGTTCAAGAAGTTCTCAGACTAATCATACTTTTTGTACAACCTTGAAACAGTTTGCATTTGTGAGTTTTTCCATAGTACCTTCAGAACTCATAGAGCAAACTACTTTTGCCAAAGAGAAATTATGACCTTTTTGAATTTCTAAGATGATTTTACTAAGTTTGGAAGAAAAAAAGACTTTCATTTTGCAATTAATAAGGCATTATGATGACAGGGTAAGTGGTGGGATGTATGTTTGTATTTTAAATTAATATTTCTGTGGGACTTAATGCATAATTGGCTACTCTTTTTAGACCATGTCTTTTAAGGCTTAAGTGAAGCTGGTTTATATGATACGTTTTAGATTTAAAGAACAAAAAATAATGAAAACAAAAGTGAAAGCTGCCAACTGATTAGCCAAAATTCTTTCTGAACAGCAGGAGCCAAGAATACCTCCTGTCAAATGAAAAGTTCTATTCCAATTAAATTTCCTATTAATGTGTACCCTGTTGTCTCTTAGATATTGCTCCTGCTTGGACTGATAACTATGGGTCACAAGGAAAGAAGATTTCCCTAAGTCCATCTGTTCGCGTTAAGGTAGAGAAACTGGAAATGGTAAATACTTGAAATTTTTTCAGTTTTCTTCCGTGAAACTATAGCAAGGAAGTATTGTCATTGTGAGGATAAAAGATTGGAGCCATTAGTTTCTTGAATTATTCATTTGCAGTTAATTAGACTTCAAACCTGTAATGGCAATAAGTGCAAGGAAGTAATACCCCATTACTCAATTTTTGAAAAAGTGAAGGGAAGCTAAATCCTAAACAAAGAAATATAAACCTACTTAGATAAAAAGAAAATGGTAGAAATGTACCCAAAAAATCATATGGAGGATAACTTTATATTGAGAGTTTCTATTTATAAAAGAAACAAGATGATTAAAAAAGAAAAATTATAAGCAGAAAAAGATTTTAAAACTTTTCCTCTCAGGTTACCTGGGAGCTGACAGCAAAAATGTATGAAGGTTTTTGGGTTGTTCGTTTGTTTTTTAAATATGAAAATGGATATAGTGCTAAAGGTTCACAGCCTCTACTTTCCTGTCAGTTTTTGTGAATCATGATTTTTTACATTTCGGAAGAGTATAAAAATGCATAGATAGAGTAATTATGCGTTACCATTCACTCACATATTCAGACCTTTGCAGGTCCTCTAATAATACCCTTATAACACGAGTTTGAATCTTACTCATTGTTCAAATTCTGACTCAGTTCCAACTCCTTTGTCCAGCTTCTTGCTAACGTTTATAGTTAAGGCCAAAATTGCCATTTTTGCACATCTGTAGCAAATGAACATCACTTTACAGTACCCTGAAATCTTCTGTGTTTTATCAGCGAGTGAAAGCTTGCAATCTCTTTGTACCATTACTTAAATCTGTACCATCACACAAATCTGATTTGTGGTCTATAAAATTTTCTCATTAATTAGATGCTTGATATGTCTCCCTTGTGTCTTCAAAGTCCTGAGTATCTTTTTCTGTGTTTTACTTTCTTTTTGTGGCTGAAATGTAAGTTCTGGATAATGGCAAGTTTTACAATCAGTAACATTAACATCATCAAAAAATAGAATGTTTGAGGTTTAAAACCATATCTATTAATATCTAAAAATGAATAACTACTGTTTTTAATGATATTGCTGTTATATACATTTTGAAATATCTGAGGTTTAATACTAATCATTCCTCTGGATAAGGAGAAAATTATCCAGCTAATGACTTTACCTGGCAGTGTTTATTCCTTGAATTAAGCTAGTTAAATTTTTCTAGCACATACTTTTAAAAAAATGATTAATTTTCTTAGAGATATGAAAATCATCTAAATTGTATTGATTCCGAGAACTGTGAGTTGCTTGCATATTGAATCGGTATTCCACTTTTAGTCTTCCTTTTAGTCTAAGGAAATTGATTATTTTTGTAGCAAAATAAAATTAGTTTTATAGCTAAGGAAACCTACATTCTGTGTAAATTCAGCTTCCCTACTTTTATTCCAGATATTTTCAGTGACTGTATTTAGTAGAGCAGTCTTTGTTTTCAGAGTTTGAAACTAAATTTCATGCAATAAATATTTTTTTCTAAAATCCATTTTAGCTTCTATCCACCCATGTTTTCTAAGTTACTCTTACCTTTTTAAATAGTTGCATATTAATGTAGTAATATCTGTATCAGTTTAATTTGAAATAGATCCTTCTATTTTAGTTGCTACTTTGTAGAGAGATTCAACTTTATTGTCCATTACATTTTTAACACATTTCCTATTTACTGATAAATGTGTTCAAGTGTTTAAAATGTAATAAAATTCTATCTTTTTGCTCTATTTCCTATAAGTATTTACATATAGTATCTAGGAAATTGGTAATATAAAATATTTCACAGGGAAAAGGTGTTGACTGGTTGTGTGGTTATTAAGTCATTAGCCAAAACAATTTTTTTTTCTGGGTTGCAATTTATTTTAAGAAACAATGTCCCAGTTATCTTATTTTCTTCCTTATCCATCATTTTTCTTAACAGAACAAGTTAACAAAAAATTGGGTGGGGGGTACAATTTTTAAGAAAGGCAGAGAAGTTAGAATTTGATGAGGGAAATTACCTGTGAAATGTATGTTTCTGGGGCATTGTCTTCATGCACTCCTTCATGTTTTAGTAGTCTATGGAGACAGTTTTATATCAGGATATACTGGAAAGTAATTTCTAACACTGAACTAATACTATGTGTCTCGTTTGATCCCATTGTTAAACTTATAAGTAGGTATGGTTAAACATAGAAATAGGGATATACTTTTTAGTTGGCTTGAAGGTGGAAAATTATTGCACCTCCTTGCTATCTATATTTTTGTACTGGAGAAAGATGCTTTGGGTTACAGATGCCATTTCACTGATGTTTACTTTATTCTTGCCATTTCTATAACGTTTGAAGAAATCTTTAGTAAGCAATGGTACCCAATGTCTGAATATAGTTAATGAGGTATTCTTTGTATTAGGTTAGGAAGTATGTGACTAATATATTAAGGAGTGACAGCTTTAAAATTCATCATTTGTTAGATATCAGAAAAAGTTAAGGACATTTATGTGTCTGACAAATTTACATTTTTATTTACAGTTAAACTGACAAATTTGTATTTTTATTTACAGTTTAAAGATGACATTAGTTATTCAAGAAATTATTGGAACCTATTTTTAATCAAAGATAAATTACCTGCAATTTTTTTTCTAATTGAAGTGTAGTTGATTTACAGTATTATATTAGCTTCAAGTATGAAGTGAAGTGAAGTCGCTCAGTCGTGTCCGACTCTTTGCGACCCCAGGGACTGTAACCTACCAGGATCCTCAGTCCATGGGATTTTCCAGGCAAGAATACTGGAGTGGGTTGCCATTTCCTTCTCCATATTCTTCAAGTATATTGCATAGTAATTCAGAATTTTTGCAGATTATACTCCATTATAGGTTATTATAAAATGACTATAATTCCTGTGCTATACAGTAAATCTTTGCTGTTCATCTCTTTTATATATAGTAGCTTATATCTATTAATCCCATACCTGAGATTTGTCCATAATTCCCCCCTTTCCTCTCCTCTTTGATAATCATAAATTTTTTTCTATACCTTTGAGTCTGTTTTGTATATACGTTTGTATTGTGTTCTAGATTCCACATGTGATATCATATAATTCTTGTCTTTGTCTGACTTATTTCACTAAGTATATTTTCTAGGTCCATGCATGTTGCTGCAAATGGCAGAATTTCACTTTTTATGGCTGAGTAGTATTCCATTATATATACACTCACACAAACACAAGCACACACCCATCTTCTTAATCCAGTCATCTGTTGAGAGGCACTTGGGTTGCTTACATGACATAGCTGTTATAAATAGTGCTGTTATGAACATTAGGGTGAGTGTATCTTTTTGAATTAGTGTTCTCATTTTTTTCCCAATACATACCCAGGAGTAGAATTTCAGTTTTTGAGGAAGCTATTTACTATTTTCCAAAATTTCAGCACCTGTTTACACTGCTTTTAACAGTGTAAAAGGGTTCCCTTTTGTCCATATCCTTGAAGCATTCAGTATTTGTAGGCTTTTTCAGTGGTAGTCATTCTGACAAGAGTGAACTGGTTATCTCTTTATTGTTTTGATTTGCATTTTTCTTGTAATTAGTTTTGTTGAGTGTCCTTCCATGTGCCTATTAGCTATCTGTATGTCTTTGGAGAAATGGTTATTCAGGTTCTGTGTTCTGTCCATTTTTTGATTAGGTTGTTTGTTTGTTTTTTTTTATATTGAGTTTATGAGTTTTTTATATGTTTAGGATATTGATCCCTCGTCTGGTGCATCATTTACAAATATTTTTTCCCATTCCATAGCTTGTCTTTTCATTTTGTTTATGGTTTCCTTTGTTGGACAAAAGCTTTCAAGTTTAATTAGGTTGCATTTGTTTATTTTTGCTTTTATTTCTTTTGCCTTAGGAGACTGATTCAAAAAAATATTCCTATAATTTATGTCAAAGAGTATTCAGCCTATGTTCTCTTCTAGGAGTTTTCTGGTTTCTGTTCTTACATTATGCCTTTAAACCATTTTGAGTTTATTTTTGTATATGGTGTGACAGAATGTTCTAATCTCGTAATTTTACATGTGACTTCAGTTTTTCCAGAACCACTTGTTAAGAGATGATCTTTTCTCCATTGTATATTCTTACCTCCTTTGTTACAGATGATTTGGCCATTTGCAGTCTTTCCTGTTTCTATATGAATTTTATGATTGTTTATTCTAGTACAGTGAAAATGTCCTGATATTTTCATAGAGATTGAATTAAATCTGTAGATCTCTTATTCCACTTTATATCAACTTCAGTGTCTTTCATTTTTGTTTTATTAGTTTTCAGAGTATATGTCTTTCACATAAGATTATTCCTAGGTATTTTATTCTTTCTGATATGGCTTTTAAACAGCTATCTTTCTGTTTCTGATATTTCATTATTAGTTTATAGACCACAGCATAATTCTCTATATTAATCTTGTATCCTACTACCTTGTTTAAATCATTTATTAGTTCTAAAAGTTTTCTGTAGAGACTTTAGGGTTTTCTCTCTATAGAACAGATGGCTCTCAGATGTCATCTGCAAATAGTGACAATTTTACGTTTTCAGTTTCAACTTGGATCCCTTTCATTTCTCTTTCTTGTCTTGTTGCTATGGTTGGAACTTCTAATATTTAAGTAGAAATGGTTAGAGTGGGCATTCTTGTCATGTTCCTGAATTTAGCATGAAGTAATTTAGCTTTTCATCATTAGTATTACCTTGGGTTTGTGTCTGTTGCAAATGGCCTTTACTATGTTCAGATGTGTTCTTTCTATATCCACTTTGATGCAAGTTTTAATCATGAATGGATGTTGTATTTTGTCATATGCTTTTTCTGCGTCTTTTGAGATGATCATGTGATTTTTATCTTTTCTTTTGTTAGTGGGGTATATATCACATTGATTGATTTGCATACATTGATCATCTTTGTGCCTCTGGAATGAATCCAACTTGATCACAGTGTATAATCTTTTTAATGTATTATTGGATTTGGT